CCCTAAATTTCTGTGAAATTTCGGAGCTTTTGGAATATTTTTTTACTGAAAAGTACGGAAGGTTTCAATTTCAAACCACACATTTTGATGGGGGCCCTTCTATTTTTCCAAGCACCTTTCGGAGGGCTTTCCTCTTAGAGGGGCTCTAATACAGATTTTAGGGTAAACGATAAATTACTGTGTATCAATTTCCTCTATCCGTCCGTCCAATCGAGTTAGCGTTCGTTCTTTTTCGTGGATTTCAGTTCGCAGCATATCGCTCTTCCGTTTCAGCACTTCTATCTGTCGAAAAAGTTTTACTATTTTACTTCAAATGAAAATTACTCACTGTTGCCTGTAACACTGTCTTCTCTTCCTCGAGTCCTTGAACCTTATTAATTGCATAACAAATTTGCCAGATGAAGAATATTACGAGAGCAACGAACGCCCGCAACCACCATTTTTCGAATATTCTTGATGAAATCATGTCGGAAACTCGAAAATTTTAAACAGTCGCATGTGGTCTATTTATCCCTGAAAATTGCGTATTTATTGAGTACAAATTTCGATCGAATAAGGGGATTGATGACGTCTCGGCTGAAAAAAAAATTATAAACCAGCTACCTTAAGTTAAAGGCGCATCATTCAAACTATGATTTGCATCTCATCGCGAGAAAACCGGATTCGAAAAAAAAACATTCGACAAAAAAGATTTTCGTTTTTTTTTGAATTTCTTTTTGTTTTTGAACACATTTCTATCTAAAATTTCAATAATTTTCACAATTTCAAAGAAAATCGATTCTCTTCTCGTTCGCTTTCATATGCTCGGGGAAAGAAAAGACAGGGAGGCGGCGATAGCTACCCTAGGGTGGTGGCTGTCACGTGAGGAAGAGACAATGTGTGTCGCAGTTCTTTCTTCGTCCTCTGCGCCTCAGCGTCTCTGCACAGTCTATACTTTCCTCAATCTGACAATAAGCCCTTCCATTTTCAGGAAAATATTTCGAATAATTTTGTTATTTGTTCAGTTTTTCTTTCTTTGAGTACTCACTCTTTCAGACCCAATAATTCTACTATATTGACAGGTTTGACAGCTGGCTGTCAAAACTGTTATCAATTCAAAATTTCGTTGATTAGCAGATTGACACCGAAATGTGGAAAAAAAAGTATCAAAAATTGTTTTTAAAGTTTTTGTTTTTAAGTTTTCAAGCTGTTTTTAAAGCCCTTGAAAAAGTAAACACAGAATTGTTCTGCTTTTCTTGAGCATGCTCATTAGATTTTGAAAGTTTGTTTAATAGTTCCAAGTGTTCCCACCCTCCCGACCATCCTTCAATTTTCTTTACGGAGGTGTAATTAATAAATGGACCTCCTCCTACTCGATATAGCTGGTACCGACAGACACTGTGTTGTACACACACACGGTCTGTTCCTTCCTTCCGTCCTCCTTTTGCTTTTGATGTGCAATCATATATTCTTCTAGTGATCAAGAGCTATAGTGCTGGCTATAAATATATACAAAACTGTTTTTTTTTCAGTTTATTTTGACCATTTTTAGCAGTCGGACTTCGCACTAACCAAGAATTTGAAAATTCCTAGTTTTTCAGCTACCCTTTTTAACTTCGAAAATGCATCACATATTACCTTAAATCTTTCTTATATAAAACGCTACTTCTATGCCAAAAAATTATGTCCCATTTTGAAAAAAACTCTCCAAATGATAGCCATCACTCCAAATCTTCATCATCCCCAACATATATTTGTCCTTCATTTTTCTCGATGCGCGCGACAAAGTATGCGACAAAGTACCAATTGACCGGGTCACCCTGTTTGTCACCCTTGGCGGATGGCCACCCCACTAACACTCACCCCCAATGGTTCAAACGGATGGCCTGAAGGTTTGAAGAGAGGAGGAAGATGGAATACCTCCTCCTCCCTTTTCCTATATACCACCACTTTCGCTTCCTCTCCCCTCTGCCTCTCTACAATCAATACAGAAAGACACTCGCTTCGAAAAGAGAGTAAAGTCGTTGGGGTGTTCTGCTTGTGTCTGGTGTCTCTATAAGAAGATACGATATTTAGTTAGTTTCAAGGCGAGTGAAGCCGAGAATCGAGGAGAGCGTTGGGGTCATTCCCCACTGCAGCGGATGACGCTTTGAGCCGTTCTGCGTCTCGTAAAAATGGAAAACTTCTGTTTTATATCATGGTTTTGTTAGAACGTCTAACCATTATTTCTGCAAACTTTCGGCTTCTCTATTCGTTTGATTCTAAAAAGTTTATTTATATTTTTCTTCAATTCAAATCGTATTTTCATCTCAAAATATTATTCTATCAAACGATGATTATCTCATAAATTGTACCTGATTTATGAAATTCGCAAATTCTTCGTTTTTTAGCTTGTTTTGCTAATACGCTTCTTCTGATATTTAGTGAATTAGCTTTGTATCTTTGGATAACTAATATGAGTAAGAGCAGTCAGCTGAGCTGAGGTGTCATGTGCCCGTGCACTCGAGTTATTGCCTAAACATATTTCTAAAAAGAAGTTTCTCATAAATTTCCCGAGAAAAAGTTCAACCTTAAATAATTTCTGAATTATTTCCTTTTCTAATTAACTCTGAGGCATGATTTTGTTTGTTTCCATACATCCTAATTTTTATACGTTTGCCATTAACTTCTACACATAAGAGAATCTCAAATTTTAGCATATGAGCTAGATATTCAAAATTCGACAAACAATGCATGCCTCTGAACAATGAGAACAAAGAGAGTATCTGTTATCAGTCGGGTGTCATTCTATATTACTTCGTTTTTCTGTTTCTGCTATTTGCTGATGCCTCTTTCTCTCCTCTCGAAGAGGTTCTACTCCGTTATCAGTCGTTCCCCATACCCACAGCATTCTGTAATTTGAGGGCGAGCGATTGATTATAACTGATATTTGATTAGTAGCGGCTGTCATCGAGTATATGGATCAGATTTTAAGATTACAAGAAGTTCTACCTTCTACCCAATAAATTTTTGCCTTCAACATTTTGAAAAGCTCCTAATTGGCATGCAAATATTCCTCGACTGCGGTGATCTTGTGGTAAAAGACTAGATATCGATCTATTTTCAATCTCTATCAGCAATCTCTTCATCTATTCTTCGCTTCCTTTTCACCGATTCGGGAGAGAATGACATCGGCTGCTTGTTTCCCATTGACTATGTTGTATTGGAATTAGAAAAAGTTGAAGGTTATATTTGAATAAGATTGTTTTTTTCCTGGAGATTAAGAGCGGATATACGACTTTTCGTGTAGTGGATGGAATTTTTTCAAACAAGTTTTTCCTATTGTCGGAAAAAAGTCACCTCGGTGTATGCAGACCCAGTACGAAAATCTGAGTCTTTGCACTGAATCTGCATACACCGATGTGACAGCTTCTTTGATCCGACAATATAAGATTGACATGATATTTAGATTTCAAAAAATGAAATCATTGAAATTTCAGATAGGTTCAAAACCTTTTTTTATCTTACCTAACAAAATAATGACCTGACGCTTTATAAACTCTTCATCGGAGAATCATAAATAATGTTAACTGCCTTGCATGGCATACTTTTATTATGGACGACCATTCGAGAAATAGTTACAAATATGGTTGCTGATACCTACTCTATCTATATACGGTCAGCCATTGCGCAATCATAGATGAATGACCTCTCTATGTCCCTCTCATCTTTAGTGTTATTGACCTGATTCATTGGCAATGTGAGGTTTTTTTCTGATTGCTTGCTCAACTAGCATCTCAGGTTTTCGTTTTTTCCGAATATTTCATAGAAGGCTTGTTTCATATCTTACAGAAAAAAATTTTGATTCGTTTCTTATGGGGTTATTCATGTAGCGAAATTATGTATTGAAATGCATTTCGAATGTATTTCAAAGCATTTCGCGACATAACTGAATATGCTTTCTGAAGGATGGTGCAAATCTTTAAAGGTGCATCACATTTTCCAGACAAAATATCGCGCCACGATATGTATTTCAATGCATATTCTGTTATTGTCTATTCAAAATAATCGCGCGGATGAACAAGTAAAAAACGTGTAGAGGCGCTGTAGAGACGCAGACGTTTTCACTCGTTCACTCGCGCGATTATTTTGAATAGACAATATGTCGCGAAATGCTTTGAAATACATTCCGCGACGTTCCTGCATTGAAATTTGAGGGCGCCGAAATGCATTTCAATACATAATTTCGCTACATGAATAACCCCATTATGTCTCATAAGCTCCTTTTCCGGTTCGAATTTGCTTTTTTTCAGGTGCCTGCGTAAACCTTTAATCATCTTTCTACCTATCACCTCCCAACTTCATATATACCCAAAACACGAAGAACTGTAAATTAGCAAAAATGGACGAGCAGATTCCACCACCAAATGCTCCGTTCCCTGCCGTCTTCCAATTGCCACAACAAATGCCAGCGAGGCGGACCCTCGGACCACACAATTCGCCCGTCAAATCCATGTCCGCAACATCATCTGTAAGATATTTTTGAAGATTTTTGGACCGCAAAAGAAGCCTAAAAATGACGCCCAGCATTAACAAATAATTCCATATTTCAGGCCCACACATCTCCACGAGTAACACCAACTAAAGGTGCGAATCCCTACGGCGATCGTTTTATACCGCTTCGTCAAGCGAACAATGACTGGAACTCTCGGTTCAATTCCATTAACGCAGAAGAGGATGGAAATTTCAAAAGACCTATGGGACACTCATCCTGTAATCGTCATTTAACGGGCATACAGAACTCGACATTAGTATCAGCATCGTCTTCTTCTCTCTTTTCCATGACTTCACTACAAACGTCAACCAGTGCGTCGACAGCACATCAGCAGGCACAAGTTGTCGCAAATCTTCATCACCATATCGACGCGGCGCAGGCTTCGGCTTCTTATCCGGAATATTATCAAGGAGTGCAACCATCATCTGGGAACACGTCTCCTACTGCTATGTCGTCATGTTTAGATGATTCTCGAAACGGAGAAGCCGTGCTACGAGCGCTTCTACGAAATGAGATGCTCAAAGATAGGATTGATGATGTGAAAGTGCAAGTGCAGGCTTCAGAAGACACACTTGCCTCCTACTCGATGGGACCTGTGGTATCTGCGTACTCTAGTGCCACACTAGATGGACCAATGCCACGTGGCGTTGTTCCACAGTTAGATAGAAATGCGTATGGAGGGAGTGTTGACAGTGTGATACCAGTGATGGGGAATGAAGGAGTCAATGATGCAGTGAGGTGAGGAAGCAAAATTTTGATTAGATTCAAGCCACACTTGTTTCTGGGCTCCGCGTCACTTCGAAACCGGTCTATTCTGAATCTTGGTGAAGCAGGCGAATGGATAAATTTTACAATTTCTTCTGTTGAGATCTTCAAATTTTGGATTTTTTCGATTTTCAAAGCGTGTTCCATCAGAAAAAACATATTTGAAAACCCTAAAATTGTTTTTGTAGCCTTAAATTTATCCATTCGCCTGCATTAACACGGGTTCGAAATGATTGGTTTCGAAGTGACGCGGAGCCTGTTTATGTTAACTTTAATTTACAAATGTCTTTCCAGGATCAGCAATGTTCATGGTGATGTGTCGCCTACGATAGCTCAAATGATGGAACCACGTCTACGTGCCGGTGCAGAATCTCCAATAGAGATACCTCTATCCCCCGCTCCGTCATCGTGTAGTGCTGAAGCCGGAGTAACGCCTACCAAATCGATCTCACTCCCTCTATCTCCAGTTGTTCCGAAACAGTCTCCCGCTCGTGCTCTTTTCGCCTACAGTGCTAAAACTACCCCAGTGAAGATGGGAGTTCAGACTCCCACACATACGACATCACCATTTGGTGGCCCATTCGGAGTTGATTCTCAGCGATTGTTACGGACACCGAGAAAACCGACCAGGAAAGTTCCGAAAAACCCATATAAAGTGTTGGATGCGCCGGAGTTGCAAGATGATTTCTACCTGAATCTGGTCGATTGGTCATCACAGAACCAGCTGTCAGTTGGATTATCGACATGTGTTTATTTGTGGAGCGCGACTACTAGTCAGGTGAGCTTTTTTCGAGAAGTAGGAAATAAAGAATATCCAAAGCACTGATATGATTCCATGCTTTGACATTTTTCACAACCCAATCTAAGCCAATTAAGGTGATCAAACTGTGCGACCTATCTGCATCGAATGAACAAGATCAAGTGACATCCGTGCAATGGTGCGATAAAGGAGATCTTCTTGCGGTGGGCACTAACCGAGGAATTACTCAAATTTGGGATGTGACTACACAGAAAAAAATTCGAGATCTTGGAGGACACACGTCTCGTGTAGGATGCTTGGCATGGAATGCGGACACGATTTGTTCGGGATCCAGAGATCGAACGATAATTCATAGGGATATTCGAGCTCCTGATAACGAAGAAGGAAGAAAGATGACACATCATAGACAGGAGGTGTGCGGATTGAAATGGTCTCCCGATAAGCAGTTGCTGGCGTCGGGCGGAAATGATAATCAATTGTTGGTGTGGAATCTACGACGGCCTGATCCTCTACAGACATACACTCAACACAATGCAGCCGTAAAGGCGTTGGCTTGGTCACCACATCACCACGGACTTTTGGTATCTGGTGGTGGAACTGCTGACAGATGTCTGAGGTTCTGGAATACGCTGACTGCCCAGCCAATGCAATGTGTAGATACGGGATCTCAGGTAATTTGATTTTCACCCATATCCTGCTGAAAAAAATGTTCAGGTGTGCAACGTGGCATGGTCGAAGCACAGCAGCGAATTGGTCTCAACACATGGCTATTCCTATAATCACGTAAGGACACTGAAATTTTGCATTTGCATCCATTCGAAGTGGATATTCACTACATTAGACATGCCTGAACTGATTATAATGATATATCTGCTTTTAAACATGTTCACTAGGTTCTGTGAAAAGTTTGAGTCATTAAATATACTTTTCAAAAAAAAACATCTGAAATAAAAAACATAGACACCGTAAAACCTGTATTAGAGGGGCCCTCCGAGAGGGGTTTGGAAAAATAGAGAAGCCCCCTTAAAGACCGCTGTAATGAAAGAGCCTCCAGAAATATTCCAGAAATTCCATTATTTAGCAGAAATATGTTGAAAACTATTTTTTTTGCTCACAAATTTGCTCAACTTTGTTGAAATGGATAGATTTTTATTAATTTGGAACGAGAATTAGCCGAATTTTGAAAATTTTCGAGAATAATTGGTGAAAGAATAGAAGGACTGACCTTTCTAATACAGGTTTTGCGGTAATTAATTCAACTATTTCGTTTCTCAACACCTCTTAGCTTCAGGTCATAATCTGGAAGTATCCGTCCCTTCAACCAGTTACTAAACTTGTTGGACATCAATTCCGTGTCCTCTATCTGGCAATGTCACCTGACGGCGAATCGATTGTCACCGGCGCTGGCGATGAGACACTTCGGTTCTGGCACGTCTTCAACAAAGGAAACCCGCCGACGATTACACGGTCCAAACTGAATTTGTTATCGACAATTCGGTGAAATTTGTAGTTAAGAGGCATTTTTAAAGGCATATGTTTGAAATCAGTTCCCACATACCATTCAACTCAAAATTCTCATGTTACATCTGGTCAAAATTTGCCAAAACTGGGTTATCTCATAAGCTATTAGGATATTTGAACTGTACCGCCCTCTCCCCTTCGCCATGTTTTTCGTATGAATTATAGTTCAGTTTTTTTTTCTCCAAATTCTTATAATATGCACCATCTAGTCTCCCCTAGGATCTTGATCCTTTACATGCCACCAAATATCATGTCTTCAATACCAATCTGTAAATTTTTTGAGCTCCGTCTAGATTTCTAGAGATTCTCCCTATCCCCAGTTTCTCCATGTCTGATAGGAGAACAAAATATTCCAAGCCGAAAATATCTAAACTCAAATATGGCCTGCTCTTGTGAATTGCTTATCATGTACTCTGCCTCTTTATTCTGACCCATTTTCGGCATCCCACCTGTCTTTCAGAACCCAACAAGATGTGTCCCACTTTTCAAAAATTGAGTTTTGCACTGAAATTTCAAATTTTCCACTTTATTCTTCGTCCCCCACATGGCCCTGTGCCTTTTCATTGCCCGAAAATTTCGATAATTTTCTAATATCTATACATCCAGCTTTCTATATATGTTTGTGTGTCTGCGACATAATATATTTTATTAAAATGAATTTTGGTACTGCAAAAAAGTTTAACAAATAAATGTTTTCATTTTAAAACCCGTTAGCAGTTTTTTCAGCACAAAGCAATTGAAAATTGAACGGAAAAGTGGAAATATCGATAGAAATATTTCCTTCCGACTCTTCTTGGAAGCTGTTGAAACATTTACAAACGTATTAATGTGGTTTTTCAGTAAATTGTCCAGATGAAGAACGTATCGAATCGCCAGACGCAATGTGTCCACTTTTGAGATCCATTATTTTTATGTTTGAAATTTTAAAAAGTATTTAGTGTGTTCTGATATGGTTGCCTTATTTCGTCCAAAGATTGAGGTTACAAGATTTCAGAGAATAATGCTTCGAGCTAAAAAAAAACTTAAACTTATCATTTCTACACTTGCTGATACACTTTTTGATCTCCCGAAGATGTTCGTTATACTAACCTTGTAAAATAAATATTCGATCTCTGAACAACTTGAACTTATGATCTCTGGTCTTGCTAATACATTTTTGATCTACCGAAAATTTAATTAGAAAAAGTCTAGTATTATTTTTGATCTACGGAACGAAGAAATCATAAACAATACAAGTTTTTAAAATGATTTTCGGAACTTTCAATAGATTTTTTTTCCGGTTCCTCTATCTTTCGTTGGTTTCCCAACAAAAGTTCTTATTAGAAGTTAAGATCGACCTTTCCCCGAAATTACCAGTTTAAATATGAAAAGTTAACTGTAATCAGAAGGGGAGCAACAATTTTAAATTCCCAGCACTAATATCGATTTATAATGCTTCCAACATTTTTGTAGTCAATTTTCCTTAAGGGAATTCTAATTTTTGTTTTCTTTAGTTACAAAATTTTCTTCTCTAACTGATCTTGTTTTCATTCGTATTCTTGTTTATCGTACGTTAGTTTTTAGGTTAGTTCGGTGAACATTCAAAAAATTCAAACATTCGAAACATTCAAAAAATGTTAATTTTTATCTGTAGGATTGCTGCTCTGTTTTTGATCTCAAAATATGACGAGGAAACAGACACAAATATCGGATTATTTTGTTTGACACACCGACAGATTTAGTTTCCCAAAGGGTAAGATCGGATGAGTTGGTCTCACCGATCAATAACAGCAATTATGTCTTTACCGTGCCTAATTGAACCGCAGTAAAGACTCTGAGAAAGATTTCCTGTAAAATCTGTTCATTTCTCTTTTTTGAACATTTCATTTGTGTTTGCTTTCCTGAATTTGTATTTAACCGCCTGTATCCTGCTCATTTACTAGACTTAATGTTAGCAATGTTCACCATGCTTCATAATTCGTTCTGATAAACAGAAATGAATATTGCCATCAGATTCTACGCCATTGATTACGTCTAGAAGGACTTCACTTCGACAAGATGTTCCAACTCAACGTCACTCGACCGTAGACAGCTCCAAAGTTGAGAAGACGACTCGAAGAGGAGGTAGTTANGGCANTTTTCCCCCCCCCCCCCCCCCCTCTCCTCGCGCACTTAAACGCAAAACGACACTGCCTTGGCCGAGGGGGGTAGACAGACGGACACGGATCAACGGGACGAGGCAGGTACGCGGGTTCGACTCCCACTGGAGCGTAATGATCTCTTAGGCTTAACCCTTAGGCTTAGGCTTAACCCTTAGGATTAGGCTTAACCCTTAGGCTTAGGCTTAACCCTTAGGCTTAGGCTTAACCCTTAGGCTTAGGCTTAACCCTTAGGCTTAGGCTTAACCCTTAGGCTTAGGCTTAACCCTTAGGCTTAACCCTTAGGCTTAGGCTTAACCCTTAGGCCTAGGCTTAACCCTTAGGCTTAACCCTTAGGCTTAGGCTTAACCCTTAGGCTTAGGCTTAACCCTTAGGCTTAGGCTCAGGCGCAGGCTTTGCCTGCGCCATTTAGGATGAGGCACGGAGGACGTTAGCTCCGATTTGGCCCAAACTTGCCTAAAATATTGTACATCGAAAAAAAAAAATAGTATATTTTTTTTTTGGCCAAAAGTCAAAAGGGGGCGGAGCTACAGTAGCTCAAAGTTGAAATTTCAAAATTTATTATCGGCCATAACTCTAGAGTGCGTGAATCGATCCGGACCAGATTTGGACCATATAAGAGGACTCCCAAGTGGCATCTTTTGAGAAAAAAAAATTCCAAAAAAATCAATTTTCAGATATCGATTTTTTGATTTTAAAATTTCAAACAGGTCGTTTGCGAAAACGTTCTATACGATTTTTTTGAAATTTTTACCACGTATGTGCCTTAAAAAGGTCTTCAAGTACCAAAATTTTTGGGACCAAAGCTACCTTGCCCTTGGCGCAGCGCCAAAATCTATTTTTCAAACGCGCGCGGCACGGTGCCGGTGCGTGATGGAATTTTGGTGTTAACTAAAAAAATGTTGGAAATGTCTTCCTCTACAACTTTGCCTCTTGGACCCTTTCACGAAAATGCACCCGAACCGAGTTATGGCGCCCGAAGTGGGACCAACTTTTTTTGGACCCCGTGCACCGAAATGCTTCAAATTGAACCGCTCCTAGACTGGTCGACGCAGAATTCAAAAAGAAATTGATTTCCCCGGTCAAAATGGGGTCACAATCGGGTGGAAAAAAAGTTACGGCGAAAAAACGATTTTGGCGTTTTCTACAGTTGGACCTAGCGGGCGCGGTTTAACAGATAGATTTTATAGTTAAATGGCAAGTTGTAGAGCTTGTTAAGACGCATCGATTCGTTTTTTTACCAACTCTCTACGACCATTTTGAAGCAAGTTACGGTCGTTTTAAGAAAATGTACTGAGGCCCTCTTGTGCGTAGAGATCCACAGAGAGCGCGCACCACTGTTTGACGTGTAATAACTCGGTTGCGAAAAAAGATAAACATGTTCTAATTTTTGCATCATGGATAGGAGATGTTGGGAAGTGTGTCCAAA